ATAATTATTCACATGACGTTAACAGACGCTAGACGGTTCCCTCATGTAACGCATAGAATATTTTGTGAAGTATATCCATAAACAGGATAATAATTATTAGTAATATTGGAATTAGTCATTTCAGTGACAATAGGCCCGTATGTTTTTTAGTACAAGTAATTTGCTTTTTACTTACAATACAGACATGTGTTCACTTAAAACTATTTTATTCAGTTTAAAACTATTTAGTGGTATAAATATGTTAAAATTGTGTTAAAAAAGTGGTGGAGATGTCCAATATAAGTTGAACGATACCTCAGGCAGTTCAAAGTTGCTTTCTAAGACAGCGGTCGTTAAGATCAGAGTGTGAAAAATGTATATCTACATGTAAATGTATATCTATCTATATGTTACGATCGATGTCCGTGTTTTAATTAAATTCAACTCGCAGTTAACATTAACCAAGACTTGTAAGCCCGCTCGTCGCATAATATTTGTATGTTGTATGTCTTTTTAAATTGGTTTGGTTGTTTCTATAAATAATATGTAATGTATTTAGGTACTTCCGTAGTTGCTGTCTAAACACAGGACGGACAACCCAGCCTCTTCAAGTTACTGAAATCTCCGCCGAAATTACTTATAATGTTAGACCTTTATACAAAATTGGGAAAAGAGTTGAAAATAATGATTACTATATCCTTGTGCAACGTCATTGGTTATTTACTTTTAACGAAACACTCATAGAATTTTCCCGCTCGTTTAAATCAAACAATTGTGGTTTTCAAACAATGAATTAATAACATGCGTTAGTAACAATAAATTAAGTTCTAGAGTCAATTAGGAATACAAAAATAAATTCGTTATGGATATATCGTATCTATTTATGTTATTTTTAGAATTATTTTTATATATTTTTATCAGCGAGATAGGTTATCAGAAGAGGTAGACAATATGACTGTGGTAGAACGATAAGTTTATATAAATGGATTTAACAAATTGTGGGATATTTAAAACGTACACCGATACATCCGTATGGTGACAAGTCAGATATTCGAAGTGTTTCTACCCCTACTCATCCCGTGGGTGTCGAAAGAGCCAACTAAGAGAGTAAACTACGCAGGACAACAGCACTGGAAAGAGAAGGAAAACCTGAAACAAACCCTATACCAACACGTCAGGCCAGCGTGGTATAGTAGGCCAATACCTCCTTTCTAAAAAGAGGCCTGTCTCCAACAGTGGACTAATAAAAGCTGTTGTTGATGATGATGATGATGATACCCATACGTGAAATCTATACTAATATTATAAAGCTGAAGAGTTTGTTTGTTTGTTTGTTTGTTTGTTTGTTTGTTTGAACGCGCTAATCTCAGGAACTACTGGTCCGATTTGAAAAATTCTTTCAGTGTTATATAGCCCATTTATCGAGGAAGGCTATAGGCTATATATCATCACTCTAAGACCAATAGGAGCGGAGCACCAATAAAGAATGTTTCAAAAACGGAGAAAATTTATTACTATTGAGAGACGCAGACGAAGTTGCGCGGGTCAGCTAGTTAGAAATATTTTGAGTTGATATGTAAGAAGTGCAGTAATTTAAAAGACTCGAACAACGGTAACTGTAAATAATTGTAGGAAGTATCATTGTGGTGCTTTTAAAAAACTCAAAAAGTCGATAATCGCGCAGTAATTTGACTATGGGGGTCTGAGCTATCAGTTCAGTTTAGAAAAGGGGTCTGTTGCCCAAAATATTTTGGGAATCCTTGAACTAGACGTTATATAACCAAAATATTTTTTCAAATCGAGCCTGCCGTTTTCGAGTAATCAGCATCATACAGACATGCTCATTTTTCTGAATTCATTTAACAATTGAACAAAATTAGACACGACACACAAAAGTCAAGGAAACTTTATAAGATAACTAAGTTATTTATAATTAATATTTGTAATTAAATGCAGCAAAATTTTACTAAAACGTACGAGTAATTTGTTTTTGTTTCAGTTTAGTACCTAACCTTGAAAAGAAGATTCAATTAATTTTAAGACTACATTAATAATCACCTTGTATGAGTTACAATTATGTAACTTTTTATATTCTTACAAATTTACGCAGGTGTAAACATACAAACGGGGCCTCATATGGAAGTAGTTCGTTCAAGCGCAGGCCTGGAAGTGATAGATGAGGCCAACTGCCACCTTAGCAGAAGTAGACCAGGGTTGCGCTGCGTCGCAGAAGGAAATGGACGTCGTGATCCTCAAACACGAGGGGACCGGGGTTCGTCAGGACGCCAGAGATTTCATTCTAGGTAAAAATGGTTCCCGAGACAGCGTGCGGATTCTAGTCGGTTCCAGTCCGACGTAACCACCCACTGGGCGTCCGTTGGGGGGCATCCGATGGGATTTCCGCACGAAAAAAGGTGTAATCTTGGTTATATGTAATTCTTTTTATTCGCCCTTTATTCTTAGTATTGCCGAATTAGATTTCGACTACTGCACGTTGGGAGAGGCCAATGTTAAGCAGTGGACTGCTATAGGCTCAGCGCTTTATAAGTAAAAGTATAAAAATATAATTTTATACCGATTGCACAAGTATTAAGATCTAATAACAGTCCGCTGTTTCACAATAACATAAGATAAACGAATAACATTTAAAAAATCGATCGGCCGCCATATCTATACTAATATTATAAAGCTGAAGAGTTTGTTTGTTTGTTTGTTTGTTTGTTTGTTTGAACGCGCTAATCTCAGGAACTACTGGTCCGATTTGAAAAATTCTTTCAGTGTTAGATAGCCCATTTATCGAGGAAGGCTATAGGCTATATATCATCACGCTAAGACCAATAGGAGCGGAGCACCAATAAAGAATGTTTCAAAAACGGAGAAAATTTATTACTATTGAGAGACGCAGACGAAGTTGCGCGGGTCAGCTAGTTAATTATATACAGCGTTTAGGACAAGTGCCATAAAGTTTAAATAAATAATCTTGATTGACGTGTTAAGTATTGCCACGAAATATTCTTGTCTATGATTCATAAAGGTGTATACTATAACGTAAATGATAATACCTTATCGGTAAAATACCTATCGATTTTGACGCATGGTAGGTATATGAAATAAACATATATCTTTCTTTCATTTTAAAAAGACAATTCCCGCATTAGGAATTAGTATATCCTGTGTCGCGGGGGACTTTACAAACATACATGAAACGGACACAAAGAACACCCAGACTCAGAACAAAAATTTGTGGATCACACAAAGTGACTGTGACAGTGCTGTGGGTCCGATCCCCACATGGGACTACCCATGTGGGGATCGGACCCACAGCACTTGGCGTAGTAGTAAGCGGCGTGACGACCGCTTAAACCACTACGCCATTCGTGCAGTCTTTGCAGTATATTCAAACGCTTAATAAGAATGTTAGTAACAGATTACCCATTGTTTCACTATTTAAAAAAAAAGGTATTTGAGAGAATTTGAATTAAAAAACAAAAATTTGACAAGTTTGAACTAAGAATTTGTTATGTTGTATTTGAGTTCGCCTTTACAAAAAGTCAAGTACAGCAACTAATTCTTAATTTAAATTTGTTCCATGTGCTATTTTTAAATTCAAATTTACGCAAATGTTTTTTGTTTTATTAAATCATCTAAATCGTTTATTTCGATTAAACCCTAAAGGAATTGAATTATAGCCAGTTAATCTGACCTCTCTGGAGAGGTCAGATTAACTGGCTATAATTCAATTCCTTATATTATTCCATATAAGCCACAGGACGGATATAATATATGAGTAGGGGACCAGAGTTTTATGTGTTACTTGTATCTCTTACCCTAGCTCCCTGACCTTACCCGTTTTCTTACCCTAATTTACAATCTTAAGTCCAGTCTGAACACAAGAAGAGCGTCAAAAGGAGCCAATCTAAATCCTTTAGAATGTTATACCCATATATGTATATATATAACCGATATGTAACCGAAGGTAGTTCCCGCGCCGTTGCGGGCAAGCGCTAGGAGGGGTCTGGATGTCTTAATAACAGCAGTTCCCGGATCCCTCCTATTATAGGCGCAGAATGGCACACCGTGTGGTTTTAGTCGGTTCGATTCCAACACACCACTCCGCCGCAAACCAAGGTGGGGTGACGGCCTGAGGGGGTTTCCACACGTAAAAAAAATAAAAAAGCTAGGTAGGTCCGTTAACCGCTGTTTAACATTAAATCTAGTATTTTTTAAATTACACATACAGGGAATGGTAGCTATACCTATATAATAAAATAATTACTAGATTTACTGTTAAATAGGCAAAATAGGGTATTTATGCATCGTCTGAAAACAGCTTATTTACAACAACGTGTGAGTAAGTAGTAACCCTTTTTTCTTTTTTTTTTTTTTTGTGCGGAAATCCCCTCGGATACCACCTGTCGGTGGCATGTCGGACTCGAACCGACTAAAACCGCACGCCGTCTAGGGTACTAATAGCCGGGGAACCAGGTATACCCTAGAAAGGAAGTAATAAGTAGGAACCCTAACCTATGTACGAAAAAATCGAATGATAAATTACCATTCATTCAGAGTTCACTCTGATTTTGTCCCAAGTATACTTCACACCGAGTGAGTGAGGTTACCGCAGCCCATGAGCCCGCTTTATGTGATTGTGACTCTTGAGTATCCAGGAGCGGCCCTTGTATCATTATAATGAACTAGCTGACCCGCGCAACTTCGTCTGCGTCTCTCAATAGTAATAAATTTTCTCCGTTTTTGAAACATTCTTCATTGGTGCTCCGCTCCTATTGGTCTTAGCGTGATGATATATAGCCTATAGCCTTCCTCGATAAATGGGCTATCTAACACTGAAAGAATTTTTTAAATCGGACCAGTAGTTCTTGAGATTAGCGCGTTCAAACAAACAAACTGTTCAGCTTTATAATATTAGTATAGATATTTAATACAGTTATACAAATAATGATTTATTATTTTTAAATCACCTTGCCGGTATCGATCCAACACAGGCTCTGTAGTCGGTCAATCTATTCTGTGTTATCTCGCCCCTTATCGACACTCCCTGATAACAGGGCGCTGTTCAACACTACCTATTATTATAACGCAATATCAAATACCAAATTCATTACCACTATATATTCGTTTGTGATATATTAATTATACTAATACTTATTTTTTCCCGCGGCCGTTTTCGTCGAACTATCTCCATACCAAATTTCATCTAAATCGTTTCAACTTTCACTCCCTTTTCACCCCTTTTGAGGATGATTTCTGGGATAAAAACTATTATATTTCCTTTCACGGGACTCAATCTATCTTTATACCAAATTACAACTCAATCGATTAAGCGGTTTAAGCGTGAAAAGGTAACAAACAGACAGACACACTTTTCGCATTTATAATATTAGTATGGTTAGTATTCTGACTGCTAAGCCAGAGAGTCGTGGGTTCAACTCCCACCCAAAACAAATAATTGTCTGGTGAGTACGATCATTTGTTCTGTGTCTGGTTGTAATTTATAATATGTATGTATTTAGAAATATATAAGTATGTTTATCAGCAGTCTGGTTACCATAGCACAGGCTCTGCCTAGTTTGGGATCAGACGGCCGTGTGTGAGATGTGTGAAGGTTATTATAATTACTTATGTATTTCAAGTTTTCCGTAATCTGTTAAACTCAGTTTTGTTAGAAACTACAAGAGTTATAGTTATTTCAAACTAGATGGCGCTGTTTTTAATTAGGAACAACTCGCAGTTAACATTCACAGTGTTAGTTACAAATTATGTATGACAAATAGTAGTATTAGTTATGTAAAATTTGTATGCATCAGTATATCTATTTGTATTGGTATGTTAGTTTTTCTATAAATAATAAGTGCATTATTTACTAAAGAATATATTTGTATTCTAGAACCCAAAGTAAAAATTATGCTTGATTCTTGATAATGCTGATTGCTATATCTAAAAATGTCCCATAAACTGATATTTTTGCTGTTTCTTATGCAAATTTAAATAAATCACCAATCACCAATAAATCAGAATTTTATACACCGACCCTGAGCGTAAAATTGTTAAATGTGTAATTCGTTGTGTTCATAAAACTAGTTTTGTTTTATTTTTAAAGTAATGCCGTTTTCCCTGTAGGCGACCTGTAAAGTACGGTCGTTGAACCGGCGAATTCTGCTGAATGTCCATTGTAATATAAAAAAACCATAAAGTAAATTTAAGTTTAATTTAATTAAACTGAGTAATTATTGAGGAGTTGATATTATTAATTACATTATAGTACAGTGAACGTGAAGGGCAAAGCATTTTTACGTTCGAATTGGGTCTGCCTGATTAAGGAAGTACAATTCCCAGCAAAAGCACATAAGTTTGACAGAATTTAGTTAATGGAGAAGTCGGGAACCGGGTGGTCGGTATTAACGGCGTAATGGCGGATAAAATGTATTCGTCTTTTATATATACGACTTTATTCTAAAAAAATTAGATGGTTTTTAAATGAATAAACAAAAATTGGCGTATTTGCTTAGACTTCCTCGATTTTATCAACAGTCAAAGAGGCCAATAAAATATTATCGTCGATAAATACTTGAGATTGCAAAACAGTTACTAATGCGGAATCGTCAATACATTGACAAATTGTAATCAATTTGACTACAATTAAAATTAGCACTACGGTATGCATAAATTATTGAAACCCAGGAAAAAAAAATCTAATTGTTTATTTTTATTAGAATAAACTGGCTGTCCCCTCTCTCGCTCGGTGATCACAGCTCGCCTCGCTCCCAACGGTGGGACAGAATGCTGAATAATTTACTACTGCTGTTCCCTGCTACGCGTTGCTGTGACATATGAAAGGAAACAGCAGTGTGAGAGAGTGAAAGTGTGACATTGATAAGAATCAATGCAAACAAATGAGAAACAAAATTAACGCGAAAAATACATAACAACAATCTTTGAAGCAGTTGTCAATATTTGAACACAAACCAACTTAAGATTTTTATATGTATAATAGATTTATGTACATGGTACATGGGCAGACTTTTAATAACCTGATGGTATAAGTGACTACCGCCGACCATAGACACCTGCAACTTTGAGTCCTCCCAGAATCAAAGGGGGAATCGATCCCTCTCTCCCAAAAAATTCTATAAAACCTCTGAAGCAACGGGTGTCATGTCAAATTGAGAATTTTTCATATCGCGATACAGGATTATTAGTTACCTACTCCGTAGTTCGGTGTGTCTCCGTTAGATGGCGTGTTTGTGTTTCGTTGTATTTAAAAGTCGTCATAAACCCATTTGAATTATACGAGTAATATCACGAACGAAATGCTTTGGTAAGTAGATTACACGTCATAATTTATCTTTAGTAAATAGGCTTACAACGAACAACATTTTGTCATAAAACTATGACACAAACACCAACTTCTTCACAATATCTATAATGACAAATAGATTCATCATTACAAACAAATACAAAGACCATTCAGTTCAATAATTTTCTATCATGCCACTATAAAACTAAACCCTTTACCAACCCGTCTGGCCAGCGTGGTATAGTAGCCTCTCCTGAGAAGAGAGGCTTATGTCCAGCAGTGGACTGTTAAAGGCTGTTGATGATGATGCCACTATCATTCGCTATGAGAAAATATAGTGTAATCTTTGAACTCTACGTCATTAGTTCCGTATCAATTGCTTCTCCGTTCGTCGTGTATTTTTTTAGGGTTCTAACGGTAGCGAAGCCGCTAAGATCTACTATTTAATATATATGTACTTCCAATTTATTTTTAATACATTTATATCTAGGTGCAAACTCCCTCAATTTTTCTAGGTCATCTTCACATATTCTTCAGAAATATGTTGGAATGAACATAAAAATAATGTTATATTGTTTCTAATGATAATAGAAAGACACATGTATTATGGAAAAATATTATTATATCCCTTTTAACCTATACCTCAAGGCAACGCTTTATTAAAATAAATGCATTTTTTAAGCCTTCTAAGTTGGTTCCCTTTACCAAAGGTTACCTTTCTAGGTTACACATAGAGTGGATGTACGTCGAGGTACGGCCGAGGTACGTCGGGGTACCAGGGATTTCTTTGGACGGTACACCTGGTTCCCCAGCTACTGGTACGTTCGGTTTTTGGTTGGTTCGAGTCCGATAATCACCCCACCGGTGGGTGATATCCAAGGCGAATTCCGCACAGGAAAAAAAATGTTACACCTAGAAAGGTAATCGCGTGCAGTTTTAGTCGGTTCGAGCCCGACATAAAAACCCCAATTGGTATTTGAGTTGATTTCCACACGAAAAAGAAGGGTTCTGGAAGCCTGTTTGTCGCTCTGCCAAGACCTTTAGTCGAGACCACCCTAAAAGTTCAGTATAAATATGTATTTAAATAAAACTTACCCTGCATAAGGCGACACCCGTGTCTAGTCTATCAAGAAAATTATCAGCAGTGATTCTTAATTCGGGGTAAAGAACCGTCAGCCACTCGGCTAAATCTTCTTTCATAGCATAAAGGTATTCCTCTGAGGACTTGAAGGGCCTGAAAGGCCTGGCCTCCAGGAGTACAGCGCCAGCGCTCGCCATTTTGCACTTTGTTGTGGAGTTATATGGACATTACTGGATCTGCAAAGAAAAGAAAAACATTCTTAAAATTTTCAGAAATATTTAATTTTGAAGAGGGTCTCATTAAAATTATCTTCTTTGTTTGGCTAGCCAAGGAGAAGATGTGAGAAAGAGAATTCTCTATTTTGTTGTTTATTTCGTGCACTAAAGATCCATATCGAGCTGCATGGGAACTTTAACTCATTCTTTGTTCTTCTGTTTCAAAAATATAAAAAACACTTTTGGAAAACCAAAGCCAAATTTTTAAATACTAGTTTCCTACCACGTATGTCAGGAGTAAGTTCAATTTATTTTATTTATTTGGAAACTTAACGGCTATGTTACATATATCACGGGTGAAGTTAAACATTTCAATGGACTCTTAGCCAATAATAAAGTTTTTCGACAAGTAAAAATTGCGTGCACTACTTAAACATAACATAGCAATTATAAATATTATATACTATCTCTAATTTAGGTAAATTGGGTCTATTGTGGAGAGTGAGAAGTATTCCAAAAGAAAGCAACTAACAGAAACAATCTTGATTTGGATTCACAAGTACCAAAGCTTGCAATTTTTTAGTGATTTGTTTTTTAAAGGCACTTTTTGAGAGGTGGAAGATGTCAATTTCGTCAAAATTATCATTAAATTAAATCAATGAAGTGTATAAAATTTCATAGTAAAACCAGATTGTGTAAATTAAATTATGCTTCTAAACCTTTTATCTAAGGCCTATTTTCCTAACTCAAGAATCATTCTGTATCAAAAAGAAAAAGTCTAGATAAAGACTTTTTATTCTGACATCCATCTAACAATAATTCCGCACATAAATAATTAATTGACAACACCAAGCAGTGTTACCATAATGATAAAAGACAATGACATGTCGCAGCTTGTCTGCTGTCAAATCACTTGGTGTAATGTTCCACAGACTGTCAAGGATAAAATACTTTAAGATTTATATGTGTTAAATAGCTTCCCGTGTCATTGTTTAATTAACGGCTAGACTAATCAATTATTTTGCGAACGCTCACGAAAAATAAATTTGATTAGTTCACATCACATCAACAGCCTTTAATAGTCCACTGCTGGACATAAGCCTCTCCGTGGAAAGGAGGTTTTGGCCTACTATACCACGCTGGCCAGACGGGTTGGTACAGGGTTTGTGTCAAGTTTTCCTTCTCTCTGCAGTGCTGTTGTTATGCGTAGTTTTTTCCCTTAGTCGGCTCTTACGACACCCACGGGATGAATAGGGGTGGTGACACTCTGTATTCTTAATCCGTCACCACACAGATAGTTCAATAGTTGGATTATTTCAAGTCTTATTAATTGAAAGAAACCTATGAAATAGAGAGGCTTAATACGCAATATAAGATCAGAATTTTTCAAAGCAAAAAGTTTTAGTCAGCAGGCCAGCGCTCATGGTAACTGTCAGAGTACATGGTCAAGACTTGTCAGGATTTCGAAGAAATTCTTTCCTATTTCCTTGCCCCCCACCCCCTTGGCCTAATACCCTGTAAAATAACACATTTAATGCGTTTTGATTTTGGACTATCACAACACTGTAAACCCTGATGTGATTGATTACTCATAAGTTTATATTCAAACTACGAGAAAAACATTTTATTTCTTTTTTTGAAAAATTCACGGTAAGTTCTTTTAAGCTTTCTTCTTAGAAGTCTTTTTAATTTAACTCAGATTGCGCCAAATGTGAGACTTTAAGTGAATTAGTAATTGATAATGAAGCTATAACTAGATCCTTACCCGGATTAATTTACTTTATATTAAATAAAAATGATATCTAGTCCTTGTTAAAGGCTCACCGGTCTGACCTTTAAATACGAACATTTTAAATACCAGGTCACATAATCTACATATATTTAAAACATAACGCGTAATACATAGACTAAGGCTAAGAAAACAAGGCATATTTTTCAAATTAGAAATTCAATGACAAAACATAACACCATAATGGTGGATACAAGAGCCGCTAAACTACGTCCTCAAGATTAAAAAGATGGGTAAAGTCAGTCAATTAATGAGGCAAGTATTTAAAAAAAAATAGCGCAAAATCTAGGCACGTACGGTGGAATGGCGCAATATATAACAGTTTCTGTCTCGCACAATTTCACACGTCTGGGACTAGACAGAGATAGCTGCATTACAGTTGTGACATAAATTCTTTTTAGATAACTTCTGGACAATTTGAAGGCCGTTTGCAAAAGGTATTTATGGACACGAAAATTACTCAATCCAAACCAAGCCAAAGTTTTACACTTCTGAGCATCCGAAGAAGAAATAGTGAAGAAGAAAATGATTCCAGCTATCAGCAGCAGGCCAGTGCTTATAGAGAATGTAAATCATTTAGGTTGGGGCCAATTCTTGCCCTAGCTAGCAGAAGCTGCCTGGTTCCGGCTTTTGGCCTTTCAGACATTGGTTTTGACTACCGTGCTGCATATTGTCTATTTTTCATGTAGAAATATTTTATTTATTTTATGATGTCATAATTAATATTTTTATGTGCTAAAATATAAGTTATATAATTTCCTGAATGGGCTGACGATATAACCGAGTTAATAGCAAAAGACTGGCAAATTATCGGCAAGGACAGAGATGAGTGGAAAGGACTGGAGGAGGCCTTCACCCGAGGAGGGGTCCATATCCAAATGGAAAAACTAACCCTTACTAACATATAGACAATAAGCAAAACATGAATAACCAACTAAACACTAACAAACAAATACCAACATTTGAAATGGAATTTAAGGATACGGAAATACAGGCTTTTTTATTTTTTTTTATTTTATTAATTGCCTGAAAGACAGTCATTTAATCATCTTCTACCCTTTGTCTAACCGTCTTGGTGTCGTCACATGACATTCGTTACCAAACTCAATCTACTGGACTCTTCAAAATTATCTATTACTTGTCAGTTAATGTGGCAAAAAAATGGTGATTGATCTATGCGTATCCGGTAGCTGGATCTTATAATATACTAGTTATACCCACCATGGTTTCTCTTTCATGCACATTTTTTAAATCTTAATAAAAAAAATCTAAGTAAAAATAGTCTACGTCACTTTTTACAACATTAACTATTTTCCGGTGAAAGTCCCGTAGAAATCGGTGTAGCAGTTTTGGGAATTGGCCGACACAAATCAACATACAAAAAATTTCGCAATACCGTGTAAAAATTCAGATACACTGAATGAAAAAAAAACTTTTAAAATGAATTTACAAACAGACTTCAATTTTATTTATCCGTATGTTACAAATACATAACAAAATACTTGTCTACACATGAGTACACTTGTCACACGCTGCGGCGCTGAGTGACACAGTTCATTTACCCCCACGGTTGGGCGACTGCCGCGGCTCACTGCGTACTTTCGCGGGTACCACTCCCGGCTGAGTAATGCGTGGTTACTTCGATAAGCGGCAGTAGGAACCACCCTTAAACTTTCCAACGGTGAGGAAGTCTGGTCATATTTTTAAGGATGAGTAGCGTAATAATATGCTAAGGTGGTATTTAGTTACCAAGAGTCCGATAACTCCGATTCCCCAAGGTCGAATGTTTTTTTTTCTGATTAAAAAAGACAACGCCCGCATAAGAAATGTATCCTGTGTCGCGGGGGACTTTTCAAACATACATGAAACGGACACAAAGAACACCCAGACTCAGAATAACAATTTGTGGATCAAAGTGTCGACCCATATGGGAATCGAATCCACAACACACAGCGTAGTAGGAGCGGCGTGGCGACCGCTTAAACCACTAAGCCATTTGTGCAGTCGCAGCGCAGTCGACATCCGTAAGGACTTTTTTCCCTACCAAAGAAGTTAAGAAAGAGTGAAAAAATAGACATTCAAGGCGTTCGTTATGTTGGTTGACACTATTCGCTAATCCCAATTATCGCTAGTCCTATTTGAATAAACATTGTAGCATTAGATAACCCAATTCTTGAGGAAGATTATAAGCTATTAACCTCACGATGATTATGACAGGAACAGTGGCCTTTAACGCGGGTGTAACTGAAGAAATTTCTGTATTAAAAATGCTGTGCAAAGATTTGGACTATTAGTCGGAGAACTAAAATGCCATTATGTTATAACACTATTATTTCTTATTTCATGTTTCTAACCTTGAAAATAATAAACTTCCATGCAACCGTTCATTCTTAATTTTTCCCGCTTTGGAGTGAAATATACAAAAAATCCTTTCTAAGGGGTGTTTACATCATCAAATGCATCAACTGCCAAAATTTCAAGTTTTTAACCCCATTTTTTTTTCGTGCGGAAATCCCCTCGGATACCACCTGTCGGTGGCATGTCGGACTCGAACCGACTAAAACCGCACGCCGTCTCGGATACTAATAGCCGGGGAACCAGGTATCCTAGAAAGGAAGTCCCTGGTGCCCCGACATACCTCGGGCCATCTACAACAACAGGTAGACCCCCCGCGTGTGGGAACCATATGTTCATTCTGCTCCCTGGAAGAGAGCGCGCTTCGCAACGCGCTCGGCGCCACCCCGGCCTGCTTCTGCTAGGGTGTCAGATGGCCACACCTGTCACCCCCAAGTTTTTAACCCCTTTTTTTTTCCGTGCGGAAATCCCCTCGGATACCACCTGTCGGTGGCATGTCGGACTCGAACCGACTAAAACCGCACGCCGTCTCGGGTACTAATAGCCGGGGAACCAGGTATACCCTAGAAAGGAAGTCCCTGGTGTAGTTTTTAACCCCTGCGGTTTAGGCTCTGCGTTGATGAATCAGTCAGTCAGGGCAAGTTATTTTATATGGTCATCATCAACAGCCTTTCATAGTCCACTGCTGGACATAAGCCTCTCCTTAGAAAGGAGGTTTTGGCCTACTATACCACGCTGGCGAGACGGGTTGGTATAGGGTTTGTTTCAAGTTTGCCTTCTCTTTGCAGTGCTGTTGTCTTGCATAGTTTACTCCCATAGTCGGCTCTTACGACACCCA